CAGGCTGACTTGGGTCCAGGAGCCATTTCAGTGGAGGAAGCTGAAGAGCTTTGCCCTCAGATGTGAACTCTGATGTAAAGATCCCTGCTTAGAATGAATGCCTCTGCTGTCTCAGTGACATGAGTAATATACCAGCTTTTTATCTCAATTGCCCGTCACCTGCTTTGCTTTTCGAACTTGACATTGCAGTACACCCGCGCTGCTCTTGAATGACACCCATCCAGGAAGACTTACTGCTGCTTTTCTCTTTCCCCACCAGTTTGACATCTTTATTGAAGAACAATGTCCACAGCATGAAATGCACTCTCATGATTCAAAGATGTCCTAAGTTTGCTGGGCTGAGCAACCTTGACCCTAATATCGCTAAGCAGAGAACCTCTATTTCTACCCCAACTCCATGGACCTTATGAACTGCAATTTCACCTAAATGGAACGTATGCCCCATGGTTGTTGGAGCCTGGCTTCTTTGCTTAGCATGTCTTTGAGGTTCTCCTATGGTGTGGCATCCCAGTTATTTGTGGGCTCCTGCTCTCTTAGCCCCAAACCCCCTTCAAGGAGTTAGGACCATCTGATTCATGTGGCCTTCTTGCTTCATTTAGGCTCCTCTGGGGTCACTTCTGAGTTCCACCCCAGTGGCTTCTCCTGGGTTCATTCTACTCTTTCTGGCCTATCCCCCAACTCTGCCTTGTTCTCCTTTGGGGGCTTGGTTGTTTCCTGCCTCCAGCTCTTCCTTGGCTCCTGCCCTCACACTATTGCTCAGTCTGTCCCCTCATTCTGCCCAGGAATTTGTTGAAATCAGCCTCATTACATCGAATGAAATCGCATTTCTTGTCATGGGCTGCACATCTGTCCTACTTGCCTATTCAAAGCTCTTGGGTCCTGAAACTGAATTTCTTGTATATTGGGTTCTTTTTTTTACCACTTCCTAAATAAAACTACTTCCTAAACATAACACCAGTAGCACAGACACTGAGAGCAACAATAAATAAATGGGATGTCCTGAAACCGAGAAGCATCTGTAAAGCAGAGGACACAGTCAATAAGACAAAAAGGAAATCTAGAGAACGGGAAAAGATATTCATCAACCCCACATCAGACAGAGGACCGATCTCCAAAATATATAAAGAACTCAAAAAATTAGACATCAAAATTCCAAATAACCCAATTAAAAAATGGGGTACGGATCTAAACAGAATTCTCAACAGAAGAATCTCAAATGTCCAAAAGACACTTAAGGAAATGTTCAACATCCTTAGCCATCATGGAAATACAAATCAAAACAACTCTGAGATATCATCTTATAACAGTCAGAATGGCTAAGATCAAAACCACCAATGATAGCTTATGCTGGGGAGGATGTGGAGTAAGGGGAACACTCCTCCATTGCTGGTGGGAATATAAACTTGTACAACCACTCTGACAAACAGTTTGGCAGTTTCTCAGAAAATTGTGAATCAACCTACCTCAGGACCCAGCAATACCACTCTTGGGCATATACCCAAAAGATGCTCAACTATACTACAAGGATATTTGTTCAACTATGTTCATAGCAGCATTATTTGTAATAGTCAGAACCTGGAAACAACCTAGATACCCCTCACAGAAAAATGGATGGAGAAGGTGTGGCACATTTACACAATGGAGTACTACTCATTTCAAAAACAATGGCATCTTGAAATTTGCATACAAATGGTTGGAACTAGAGAAAATCATCCTGACCCTAAGCAATAGTGGACAGGGTGCCCAAACTGGTTTTGCCCTTTAGTCAGATTGATGATTATCTTAAATGTCACCATAGAACCTTCATCCAGCAACTGATGGAAGCAGAGACAGAGACCTGCATTAGAGTACTAGACTAAGTTCCCAAAGTCCAGTTGAAGAGTGGGAGGAGTGAGAATATGAGCAAACAGGTCAAGACCATGATGGGTCCACCCACAGAAACAATTTACCTGAGTTAATGGGAGCTCACCAACTCCAGCTGGACAGGGAAGGAAACAGCATAGATCTAAACTAGAACATCTGAATATGGGTGACAGTTGTATGGCTGAGGCAGACTGTGGGGCCACTAGCAGTGGCACCAGGATTTACCCCTACTGCTTATACTAGCTTTTTTAGAACCTATTCTCTTTGGATGGACGCCTTTCTCAGTCTAGATATAATAGGGAGTGTCTTGCCCCTTCCCCAAAGCAATGTGCATTTTCCTCTCTGAGGAGTGGGTGGGAGGTGGGAGAGGGGTAAGTGAAGGGGATGGGAGGAGAGGAGTGAGTGGAAACTAGGATTGGTATGTAAAACAAAAAGGTAAGTTTGTTTTCTTAAAAAAAAACCAAAAAAACTTATTTTTATGTGCACTGATATTTTGCCTGTGTAAGGGTGGCAGATTCCCTGGAATTAGAGTTACAGACAGTTGTGAGCTGCCATGTGGGTGCTGGGAATTGCACCTGGGTCCTCTAGAAGAGTAGTCAGTGGTCTTAACTGCTGAGCCATCTCTCCAGCCCCAGTGTAGTGACTTTTTAACAGAGAGAAGGCAAGTGTCTTCATCTGTTTTGGGATGTTGTAACGAAACATCACACACAGAAATGACAGCTCTGTAGGTTCAGAAGTCCAAGATCAAGGGGATGACAAGCAGTCTGTCAAAAGGGCCACCTTCCTAGTCCACAAACGGCTCCTTTGCTGCTGTGTCCACACAGGGTGGAGGAGACTGACTTTCAGAAAGGCACCAGTTCCCAACTACCCAGAGGCTTCGCCCAATTCTACCACCTTGAAAGCTGAGGTTTCAATATTTAAGTTTTAAGGGGAAGCACCCCAATCATAGCAGTCTCTAAGGCCCTACTGCTAGGTTTATGGCTCTGTGTATTTCCTGGTTGGGAAACCTTGGGTCTTTCCTAAATTAATGACATAGGGTGTAGCGCAGGCATCATCGGGCTACATGGGGACACTCAAAACACATGGTGGTTAGTGCAGAGCAGGGCAGGGGGAACTTCTAAAACACTGTTCTGAAACAAGGGAGGATCCACTTGATGCGGGAAGAACTTTCTATGTGTATAGACTCTGGAAATGGCCCTGTTCCGCCAGCCTTGGTCCTCACTTGACTGAACTCCCGGACGATGTTTTCATGGGGTCTTTCTAGCCCCCCTCCCCTCGCCCCCTGCTTTCTAGCCCATCATTAACTCACCTTTGGATGTTTGCACCCTGTTCTGAGAATCACTGTGTGGTCTTCCCTGGAAAGCTCCCCACGGTTGCTAAAGCTGTCACCAGACAGTGGAGACTGTTGTCAGCTTCCTTTTCCAATCAGTACCACTATTTGGGTGTAGCTGCCTAATGACTGAATTGCAGGGCTTCACAATAGTTCATGTAGGAACACAGTAAATGTCATCAATCTTACTAAGGGTAAGATGCTAAGCAGGCTCAACAAGGCTCCAGATCACACACACACACACACACACACGCCACAGGCAATGTAAGACAGGAGAAGGCAGAACATGGACAGAGAAAGGTGGCAATGAGTAAGTTCTGGAAAGACCTGCCCTCCAGTCCTAATCCCGGTTCCTCTTTAAAACTGTTTGGATGTTTACTTATGTCTATGTGTGCATGTATAAGCCAGAGGACAAGCTGCAGGTGTCAGCTCTCTCCTTCCATCACTGGACCCCAGGGGTTGACCTCTAGTTGCCAGGCTTGGTGATGCGTGCTTTTACCCACTGAGCCATCTCTCCACTCTATCTACTATGCATAAAGCTTAAGACGATAAAAAAGGCAATCTTGCCGGGTGGTGGTAGTGGCGCACACCTTTAATCCCAGCACTAGGGAGGCAGAGGCAGGCGGATCTCTGTGAGTTCGAGGCCAGCCTGGTCTACAAGAGCTAGTTCCAGGACAGGCACCAAAGCTACAGAAAAAGCTTGTCTCAAAAAGAAAAAAAAAAAAAAAAGGAAAAAAAGAAAAAGGTAATCTTCAGTGTGTGGGGAGCAGCACCAATCTAAAGCAGATATGAACACTTGGAGACGTATTGCTTTGTTTATCTTCCATCACTGCCAGCAACCAGCGAGAGCTGGGCTTTGAACACAGGCCTCCGACACTGCGACAGGTACCATGCACCACACTTCCACTCTCAGCTGTCCAGGAGACATCAGTGGGGAGGTCCTGCTGGATTCTGCGGGAGCTGGAAGGCACCTTGTGTGGGGATAGCTCAGCTACCTCCCTCAGACAACTCAGTAGCCTGCAGAGGCAGCCCTTGGCTTCCCTCGGCAGAAGTATTCCTTCTCTCTGTCTTGCTGGCCAGAGGTCACACTGCCGACTAGCTAGCATCTCTCTAGATGAACGCTGCTGCTTCTGGTCTCAGCGTGGCCTGCAGGTGGTGGCATGGGTTTCCTCCAGAAGGGTCACAGAGTCTGACGTTCAATGCCAGCTGCACTCCATGTCATGGTACTCATGTAAGGATTAGAAGACAGCAATGGTTCCAGAACAGAGAAAAACCTCATCCCACTTTTGAGTTGTGTTTGGTGTGTATTAGCAGGCATGAAGGAAAATGCTTATCTAATGATTTCGAAGAGCAACACTGCTTAAAGGGCATATAATGTGCTTTGTGATTGGACGCAGTCACTGGGACGAGTCGCATTGTGAGTAACTTTGTGTAAAGTTAAGATATCTCTTTTAATCACATCTGGTAAAGTGACACAAAGACCCTCTTTCTTATACACCAGATTGGCATTTTCCAACTGAGGGACAAGGAACAGTATTTAAATACACCCAGAATATTCTTCTCAAAGCCTAAGTTTGAGGAATCTTCATTGTTCCCTCAGAAATTACCAGAGCGGGGCAGGGCAGAGGGAGGGTGCAGGGGCTGGGAAATATTGCAGGCTCCCGTGTAGGGGAGCCTGGGTAGATGACTCTATCTGGGCATTTACTTGTGTAGTTTGATTTCCACAAATACTCTGTAACCAAGTCAACACACGGACAAATCAGTGAATGATCTTAATTTCTCCAGTTCAGGTTTTTTTTTGGGGGGGTGTGTTTATGCAGTTTTTGCGTGTGGTACAAGCATGTAAGTGTGTGGGTGTGCCCATCTAGGCACGTGCACTCGGAGGCCTGAGGATGACCACTGTACTTTCTGTCTTTCTCTGGCACCATACCATCTCTCAATAAACCAGAAGCTCACCATTTTGGCTAACTTGGATGGCCACTGGATGTTAAAGATCGGCCTACTGCTGCCCCCACCGCTGGGGTTACAGGCACACGGAGTCTTGCCCAGCATTTTACATAGGTGCTGTTACTCAAACTCAGCAGGTCCTTGGGCTTGCACAGCGAGCGCCTTGCCTTCAGAGCCATCTACCGAACCCCAGTTCAGAGGTTTTTAAAAATAGAAGCAACCAAAATGAAAAATCTCAATCAGCTCTTTACCTGAGTAGTAACAGCGGAGATGGTGAGCCATCTCCCTTAGCTGCATCCCTTGAAGTGAGATGAGGTGGATGGTCAGCCTCTTTTGGGTGGTACTAATATGCTAATCGTTTGGAAACTAACCTACAGCATAAGGAGGGTTAGTCTTCGTTGTGATAGTCATCCGCATCCTGAGGGCTGCCTCTCATTGCAAAGGAACCAAAACTAAAGCCTCCACTCTTAAATAGCATTTATTAGTATTGCAGTGGAGTCTCCCTCAAGGTCTCCCATTTATTTAAGGATATATGTTATGGTTAGAGAAGCAACTTCATTATTATATATGAGTATGCCCAACTATGACCCTTACTCAATCCAGGGGTCAAATATTCACATCATGTGCATCACCATTTAGTTTCTTATCCAAACATGCCCCCTTCTCCCCCCTTTTAAAATATGTGCCTTGATCAAGTGGGAAAAAAACTGAAAGAAACAAAGCATCAAGGGCTTGCTATAAAGGAGAAGCCTAGAAAAGATAAAACCCCCATGGCATTCTGCTCAGTTGCTGTCTGTGAGCAGAGGCACAGTGCTCACGCGGGCAGCATTCTGCCCAGTGGTTTCTTGGTCAGGATGGTGAGAAAGCCCTTGAGGTTTTCTGTGGCTGTTGGGAGGAGGCGGAAATCCCATCTACTGAATCCACTCGATGTTTAGGCACCGCGCTATGAATGCAAACATATCGGAAACTTCTTCTATCACTTTGGCGGTGGGTTTCCCGGCCCCGTGGCCAGCCTTGGTGTCCACGTGGATCAGCAAGGGGTTGCTCTGCTTCCGGCTGCGGCCCACAATGTATTGGAGCGTGGCGATGAACTTCAGGGAGTGCAGCGGGACCACCCGGTCATCGTGGTCAGCCGTGAGGAGAAGCATGGAAGGGTACTGGGTGTCATCCGCCTCCGGAAGCTTCACGTTATGCAGTGGTGAGTATCTGCAAGGCAGAGGAACTTCCGTGAGGTTGGACACCAAGAGCAGAGTTACCACAGACAAAAGGACAGCGCTGCACCAGGATTCACGTGCTTCACCAGCCTGACCACTGCCGAGGAGGGCTGGAGCTAACAGCACATGAGGGCCACCATTTAGGCCAGGATTGTCAATGGCTACTGAAAATTGGGGAGCTGGGTCAATTTATTTAGCTCTAACCTTGAAGGCTGAATAAGAAAGGAAGTCATGGGGCTGGTGAAATAATGGAACTGTTTCGAGTTTACCATCTCTGTGTTGTTTATCTCTTGGCAGAAGGACCTGGCACCTGCCATGTGTCTGTTCTTTAGCGGATCTAACGCTTGTACCCCAGGGAAAGGCTGCTGCTTTAGGAAGGACACACCTATTCTCTGGGACTGGCTGCTAACCTGTACACTGAGAAGACCTAGCCCCAAGGTTTGGCCAATGGAGAAAAAGTAGTAGAAGACACTTCTAAAGCAGAAGGTAAGGTGAACTGGTGAGTTCATTAAGAAGGGCTTTAAGAAAGAAACAGAGTTGAGTTATAGGATGCTTGCTAACAGTTTAATGAAAGGAACATCTAGGTATCCTTTCTTTACATTTTACCCATTATTAATGCTCAGTTTTCACAGTTTTACACTAATGGATATAATAATTTGTTTCAGAACAGACTGAAAGTGTAAATTTATGCTGGAAACAGCATAAATTCTGCTTAGCTTATCACATGAAGTCAAGAAGCCTGAGGCTGTAAGGTGTTGGAAGGCAGTGGGTCCATCTAACCAACCCCTGCATAAGCGTTAGCTCTCTGCATAGCGTGGAAACCCTGCCTATTAAAATTCAAATAACTTTTGTGGGTGAACAATTCCCGTTAAGCTACCGGAGCCCCTGCATGACCCTCTCTAGCTGATGTGCAGGGCTGAGCTGTGTGCTCACTCACTAGCTGCAGGGAAAAGGAAGGTTCAGTCTTGAATGAGCAACATCAGAACACTGAAATTGTTAAGCAGGAGTGCCATAAATTCTTCTAGAAACTTCCTTTTAAAACTATTTAGGAAACATCAGATGCTGTGGAGTATCTTTCTTTTTTTTTTTTTTTTTTTTTTTTTGGAGACAGGGTTTCTCTGTAGCTTTGGAGCCTGTCCTGAAACTAGCTCTCCTCGTAGACCAGGCTGGCCTTGAGCTCACAGAGATCCCCCTGCCTCTGCCTCCTGAGTGCTGGGATTAAAGGCATGTGCCGCCATCTGGTGCTGTGGAGCACTTTGACATCTTTGATACACAATTCAGAGTTCATCATTTTAAAGGTCTTGAGCCTCTAGGTCCTCATTTCTACTTCATCTGAATTATGACTTCTCTGGACACAGTTACACCATGAACAGCAGTGAGTAACCACAGTATCCATGTAGCTTTCTTCTCTTTGAGGATGAAGTGCAGCAGTTTCAAAGCATTTAATTAGACACGTCAGATGAAGTTCTAAGGAGGGAAGTTAGTTACAAAAAACAAAGCATGACAAATTAAAAAATGTTTTGAATCAGAATTTATGATTTTTCCGAGAAGACTGCGATGAGAAACGAGTTTCTTGTACAGCCTGAGGGAATTCCTAACCACAGCTGCTAAGTGATCTGCAAATGTCCCGCGTGGGCCGTGAAGAGCCAGAGAGAAGGGAAATGTCTCATTTCCTCACCGCTGTCCTCAGAGCTGCCGAGGGTCATGAGTAAAGGAAATGTATAAACCAATGCCTCTAATTCCAAATATTTGTGGGTACAAATATTCGAGCATAAAAATGGTTTAACTGTGTTCTACGTTCCTAAGAAAGGCAATGTCTCTACTGATATAGTTGTAGACCATTCTATCTGAACTCCAGTAACAAAGGCTCCTGGCACAGAACAGGAGACTCAGGCCCCTCTTCCGCCATCAGCACCATGGACTGCTCGGCTCGGCTCTCTGCTCCCAGTGTCTCAGAGCAGGCGAGCTGTGAGCGGTCAGCACTTCTCCTGGGAACACTGGGAGAGAATGACAGCCACCATTCTTCTATTTCTTCTGAGCAGAACTCAGTCTCACACAGCTACGGGGCTGAGGACTCCATTTCTTCATTGCTATGAGTCACAGTGAATCTCAGGTTCCAGAGGACCCTTTTGCCACCTGAAAAATCCCTTCTTCATAGTACAACCTATATTAGTGTTTGACAGGAATCTTAAATAGCCATCTTTATGGAAAACAGTAAATCTGGGGGTTTGGCTGTGACTCAGCAGTAGAACGCTTCTCTACTATGTGCAAGGTCCTGGACTCAATCCCCAACACCGCAGACAGACAAAACTCAGGAAGACAAGAGGGCGCCGTCATCTCCGTGACGCTGCAGTAAATTACATGCAGTCAAAACACCAAATGCTAATCCTGTTGACAATGGTCACGATTAAGATAGTAGATTTTGAATAGCATAGGCAAACATTAAGGAAAACATACTTGAGAAGCCATTCGAAGTGTTGCTTGCTGTCTGAGCACCCATAATCAGTGGTCCAGGCATGACCAATGGTAAACTTGTGGAACTTCAACATGTCCATCACTCCAACCTGGGCAATAACACAGCCGAAGAGGTCTGGACGTTGATTTGCACAAACAGCTAAAAACCAAGAGAGAAAAAGAGGGAAGATGTTTATAATTAAACATCTAGATGAACCCAGTGCTTCATATCTTCAGGACGCTGGTTGTTTCATCCCTAGAACACAGGCAGAAGTTTTCATAAATGATTCAGGCATGAATCTCCAAGCAGCCCAAGGGAGAAGGCGGGGTCTTCCCAGTAATGGAGCATTTACTCCCCAGAAACACAGTGGGAGATGACCTGCTACGTTACTGGTTGGCGTTTCTCCGAGCCAAGTTGCTTTCCCGGGTGATGGGGATGGGAAGGACTTGTTCAGATCTCAGGACAGTTCAGCGCAGAAGAGGGGCTGAAATGCAGCTCTAACCAACGCTGGTACAGTCTATCCTGTTTTCAGATGTTTTGTTGTTGCTTTGTAGCAGAAAATCTACGGAATATTTGCCAAGTAATAAAATAGACGATTTCTAAGTAATAAAACCAAATGTACTGGGAAGAGACCTGAGTGAGCCGTTAACAAATCACAGCAATCACTGTTGCTAAAGAAGGTCGGATGCCACGAAGTGGAGCAGGTGCCCTAAACAGCAGCCAGTGAGGCTGGTTGGAAGCCCACGAAGGCCACATGACTAGGGGTCAGTCAAAAGATCTAGACTATTCCTGCCTCTGGTAAAATCCAGAGTTCACACCCTATTCTAATTAGATCACATGCAATAAATAGCACAGAAGTCTGAGCCATTCCCTTTGAAGCCAGATCCTCTTGGAGGGTTAGGAATGTGCATGCCCAGAACGAGCATCCCATCACCTTGCTGCGGCTCTGTCTTTGTGGATTTCTCAAAGGACTTGGCTTAAGAGGGACAAAGCAAAACCGCAGCAGAGTTAGTGGTGAACCTGTAGAGTGCGACACAGATCACACGGCCTTTACAATGGTCTTTCCCGCTAAGCGTGGACTCACCTGTAGTTCTGTGGGCCCTCTGATTTGTAGCTCAGAATCTATTCAGACTCTAACTACCTATCTTCCAGAGCCACAGTGTGGTCCAAGCCAGTGAGGTCTCTCATCTGCTCAGTTTCTCGGCCCTTACCTTCTCCCCATCGGTTCAAGACTCCCAAAGCTTCCTGCTTCCCAGAGCAGAGAGAGAACTCAGGCTGCATTCCAAGTCTGTCCTTTCTGGGTTGGCTTTGGGACACCTACCTGAATCCATGAGGACATGAGCCTCCAGCACCTCTCACCTAAATAGTCTGTGTTAGCCTGCAGGCCTTGGTTTGTGTTTGACTCATCTGAACAGAAGCAAAGCTCCAGGAAGATAGTGACATCTGTCTTGCTCACCCATCTATGCCTGACACCTAAAGACATGCTTGGCATCTCTTGACAACTAAGAAAATTTGTGAGTTGCCCCATGTGAGTCCTAAGAATCCAACTTGGGCCTTCTAGAAGATCAGGAAGTGTTCTGAAGAGCCGAGCCACCTCTCTCAGCCTCACCCGTGCCAAATTTAAGCAAATTATTCTGCACAACTATAGTCTGATATTCATGAGCCAGCTGTGCACTTCTTTAGCAGGGCTTGGGATTTACGCAGGTCACGCATGTCAGGTATCACTTTACTATCACCAGCTATGAAACATTTGGCTAAAGACCGTGCTCTATTGGGGAAAGCGGAACTACAAAAATTCATGTGTGCACATGCTCCAGATGTTTCAAAGATAAATGAACATTCAACCCTCAACGCCCAAAAATAGTGGGCGGAAAACGGTCATGTACTGTGCCGCCTGCACATGTAACAACATTAAACACCTCAAACCCTGGGCTCATGTTCATGAGTATGCCAAGTGCTACCGAGGGAACAAAGAGTAAAATTTCACTAACCACCAACTTAGAAACGTGCCAGGCTATTTCCTGTGACGTGACAGGAGAGGGCTATCTAATCCTCAGTGTTCCTTAGATGTGGACAGCACATCTGCCTCGCAAGGTGCTCAGCAAGTGCCAGTATTCACACCAACCACTCCCTCCACTTCTGCATTACTACTAAAGTACGGGTTCCTCATGTGTACCCCTCTCTATGTTCACGGCATTTAGCTTCACACAGCATAGGTCACGAGGCTCACATCTTACTAGGCCTGAGTGGCACCATCAAGGGATATCAGGTTCAGCTGAGGGCTGCCACACTGTGGCGTTAGCCCGTAGAGAGTAGAGCAGTCAGGGCAGGCGATGCTCAAATGCAACTGAGTTCTGCAGTCTCTGCACCACTCCCATCTGTGAGCCTCCGGGAAAATGGAGCTAGGGGAAAGTCCTAAGAGAGGTAGCTCGTGACTGAAAGAAAAAACGCAGCTCTCACCCACTAAGAGGCCTCCATTGGAGCCTCCGTTGATGGTAAGCCTCTTGGAGGACGTGTAGCCTTCTTTAATGAGATACTCGGCAGCACACTGAAAGTCATCAAAACAGTTTTGTTTGTTGGCCAGGATACCACCTGTAAAGTGAGAGACTGCAATTAAAAAACAGCACAAAAAGCAAGTCTGAGCTATTTGGAGCTTTCCACTGCTGACCGATGTCAACAATGACTACATAAGCCACATTGATAGAGATGACTCAATTTAAATTTTATAGACTATGGAAATCTCAGCATTTCCACATTGCAGGCCCATATAGTGAATTTGTATGTTATTAACAAACTATACAACTGATAAGGCAAGAGCCTCAAAGAGCAAAATAGGATCTGCTCGGTGAAAGAGGCCATCAAAAAGAAGCTGGATGAGAAACGGACCAAGAAGGCCCATGCCCACCTAGCACACACCACCAGGGCCGTACCTGCTTCCTGCCCTGGAGAGCCACCCTCCCTCTGCAGTGTTGTGCTCAGCCGCTAATTTAAAGGGAAAGCTGAGACTGGGGGTGCAGCAGCAGAGCACAATGGGGACACCTGACTGTCACATGCCTTCCCAGGGACCATGGCACATCATCACCTATCACCTTTCCTATGTACGAAACCAAAGAGAGTCCTCAGAGGGAAGGTACAGGTGAAGGCCTCAAAGATGTCTGAAGCAACTGCCTCGGAATGAACAAAGAGCAGACCCAGATCTAATTAGATATTCAAGATTAACCACTTGTGCAGAAATTCAATTAAACATGAAGCAGTGCTACAGAAAGAATTTTTTCACATCAAAACAAATGCTATTAAGATTTTAATAAGCAATTACCGGTGAATTAGAACAGCTAGGATTACTTAGTTTCCAGGAACAATACCATTTGGTGTATATGTCTATTTTTAAAAGTGCATTACATTTTAAGCTCAATGAGCAGAATGAGAATTAGACACATCAGTGTTCTGCATACCAGGCTATAACTGGAAAAGGTCCCCTTCTGGTCCTTTCATTAGCTTTTTGAAGCAGTCAGAAAGTAATCTGGCTGTAGTCAAGCTCCAACTTGTCCACTCCCAAGGCTCTGGACAACGGTTGGGCTAATTAATGAACGCCTGTAGAAGCAAACCAGGGCGAGCACATCCTGTCTTTTAGACCACAGGGTCCATTCTCCCAGAGGGAAAATCTGGGAGCTGGAGCTGGCTTCAGGATCACAGTCTGTGGTTAGGATGTGTGTATATGAATAATGACACACAAAATTAGGTGCGTGAAAGGGCCTTTGACTTTGAGATGTAGGTCAAATTTATGCTGTGCATACATTTTCTTTTCATTCTTTCAACCATCTTTTCATACCATGGTATGTATTCAGTGTAACTGAGATCCACCTACTCTCAAGTCAAAAAATCACACAGTCACTCCTCTGTTGTGTCAAATCCAGTGACAACTGGGTATGGCAGGAGTAACCAGTCATGCTGTGATGCTGTCAGGGAGTCTAGGAGGATGTGCTGGCTCCAGGGTCAGGCCTTGGCCCCTGCAGCATTTCACGACCTACTAGGCACATAGAACCATCATTTTATAGGTTCACTCTTGTTGCTGAACTGATGTGGGGAACCAGGCCTTGGAGAGTGGAGAAGAAAGCTCTCAGATGTTCCTGCAGTGAAAGAAGATGCCTGTCGGTTGGTGCTGATGACACCGTATTGTAAATGCTGGCAGAGTTTGGGAAGTGTGAGGCTGGACGGAGAGTTGTCTTTGTTCTCCACCATAAGGAAACAGATCACAGTGAGTGAAGAACAATTCTGGTTGCACAGAGTCTGGACAAGATGTGAGAGGCTCCAGAGGGAAGGAAGGGGCAGGGATTTAAACAAATGACCATCAGTAACAATCCCAGCCTCTAGGGAATGAAGCTGGACTGGTCCATGAGCTCCACGGGGCCAGGAAACAGATACAGAAAAAGCAGAGAAGAAAAGGAGCTAAATTCTGGTGTCTAAAGGCTACTCGGCCTTCCCAGCACAATGCTAGGACATGCTGGTAGCCATACAGGAAAGCAGTCATGTCACAGGGCTGTTTCTTCCTCCGAGCAGAAATGGCCTGCTTTATGACCTCTTCTGATAGCCAGATGATGCCAAACTGAAAAAGCAAGGCCTTCAGGAGGCGAACTAGACACCAGAAGCCCCCACAATCTCCCAAACCACCTCAGGTGTTGCTGAAAAACAAAAATTCCATTATGTTTTATGAGGACTATGTCTGAAAAATTGTGCTTCATTATCCGAGGCTACCAAGGAAAACAACATATGAAGAGAGCTGTTTTTACTGGGGGAACGGTTTGTGCAATGTGTCGGAAAAGGGCTCTCATTCTGCCAAGAAGCTCTCGGTTCTCTCTACCCCAGCTCTTTCCAACAGGAAGATCAGCATGACCTAGTCAGGTCAGACTCGGCTCTGCAGAGAAAACACCCCACCTTTGTGCCACGTCTCTCCGTATTCACCACCGCCTCTGATGTTAGCCACTGCGAGGACGCCGCCCATGTGTCTCACAAAAATGAGCCTGGACACGCTGAGGAACAGTGAAGACAGTTTAATCTTTCAGCAACTGCCAACAAGCCCCAAGACTCTTCCCTCCACCTCAAAGTAAAATTGTATCCTAAGAACTCTCCATGCAGGACAGCACCCAAATAGAGGTCAAATAATTTTATATTACTTGATTAAAGTGGAAATCATGTAACTTCTGATTACTACTTGCTTGCAAAGCTCACACATGTTCATTAACAGTACCTTTCACTCTTCTGCACTGGCAAATGATCCACTGTGAGAGTCACAGTGCAGACATTACACAGAAACAATCAGAGACCCCATTTCACACTGACTACCATGGCAAACATGGGCCAGGCGACTCCCAGCCCCTCCCGACAGCAGACTACCATGTCTAAACTGCTCAACATTGGATAAAGCAAGCTCCCCTTGAGGACTTTAACTGCACATCTTAGGAAATTTAGATGGCAATTAGACAATAGTGGATGTGCAAGAATGGACATCATACAGAATGGGAGAGGAACAAGCCTCGAGGCTGAATGTTCTAGAAATAAGACACTATAGCACAGAGTGTCCAGAAAAAAAAAATACTCAATCTCTTTTGAAACCCTGGGTTTGTTTCTTTTTTCTTTTTTACTCTGACCCTAATGGTGTACAGTGATATCTTTCTGTTAAAAGTATTTTGCTTTAAACACTATTTCTGATGTTCTCCTTCTTCCTTTTGTGAGGGGTGAAGGAGGGGCCCCTGAGGAGATGAAAGGGAGTCGGAGTGAGGTAGATACAATTAGACTAATCGTGACCAATTTGCCAAAATGACTTAATGATTTGGTCCTTTACATTTTCAGGCACCTCGAACAGTTTCTCTCTTGAAACTATGACATCCACTACAGGCACGAAATGGCCTGGGGAGTCTCTCTTGATTCCTAGCCTAGAGGTCTAAAAAGAACTCACTGTACAAATGGAGAGACTGCTAGCTTTAGACACAGCAGACCCACTCAGGGACCACCGGGGTGAAGGGGATGTGGAACAGTGTGCACGTGTCCTGTTATCCCTGGAGGAACCATGTGTCACCATTCCTGACGTAAACAGCATTCTCACTGGAAATGCTATATAGAGTGGCAAACAATGCCATATTTAGGCTAATCTAATAGATACTGATTAGCTTGAGTTTCCAGATAACTGCCTCAGAATCAACGTGGCCTGCGACTGACCACTGAGATACGGCTGAGATAGGAGATGGCAGCCCAGAGAAGGGTTCCAGGCAGACAGACTGCTACTTTTAGCCTAAATCCAGGCTGTGCACCACCACAGCACTCTACTGGACCCACACCATGAATACTGCTCTGTACAATGATTTTATACAACCTGCCAACCAAGGCAAACAACCACCTCCTCAGTGTAGTTCAGTCTCATTTAAGATTCTGAGGGCAGGGACCATCTTTTAGCTTCATTAAATCTAATATCATGAGCAGCTTCAGTTACTGGATGTCCACAGCAAGGCAAGAGCTTTTGTGCAGTCAGGTTTAGGGCAGCTGGCTGATGGGTGTGAATGAATGTGCCCCAGCCATCATTAGTCCACCAGTCTCCTCACAAATGGAAAGGATCCTGGGCCAATCATGAACCAGACTTCAAATGAGGCACTATTCATATTGCTGCTTGATGTACGAACTCCTTTTATTAAAAATACTCAAGGCAAATTCTATTTCATACTAGGAATGGGATCCTGAAGTTGCAAAACAAAACAAAAAAACAAAAACAAACAAACAAAAAAACCTGACAAACTACTTAAACAAATAATAGCAATGGACATATAGAGATGTAGGCATCCATTATCTGAGAAATAATCACAGAACAGTTTAAAATGGATGACCCATAGACTACTCATAAAATGTGTTTATGGCTAAGAATTAACAATTTATTTTAGGCCTCTGCTTTGAAAATTCAATCATTAGCTATGAAGGCATTCCTCTGAATAGATGAGAAGGTAGTGACATGCTAGCCAATGACATGCCCTGAGGACAGGAGTGTCTTCTTCAGACCTCAAATGATGGTAACCATTTCCAATCAGGCATCTGTAGACTTCACAGCTACTTCTGGAACAACCTATCCTATTGAGGGCATCAAGTAACAACAACAACAACAACAACAACAACAACAACAACAACAACATGATGGGCTTGTGAAGGTCCTATGGTTCCTAAGCAAAAATTCAAGAAGTTAAATAAAAGTCCTGCCCTTAGCAGACCCTGCTGTGTGCAGAAGATCACATACAGGTCGTCAAGTGTCCCGTGCTTACCTGTAGTTGGGTGTGATGGAGATGTTGAAGCCACCATAGCCATATAAGAAAGCAGGATGTGAGCCATCCAACTTTATGCCCTTTTTATGCACTATAAACATTGGAATCTTGGTGCCGTCCTTGCTAGGGTAGAAAACCTACAATAAAGGAAAGCATAAGGCTTAGCTACAGCATGGTGTGGAAAACACATACAGGACTTTAAAGTTGAAAAAAGAAACAGTTGTTGAATTCTCGGTTCAATGTGTGCAGCAGCATGGGGGAAATCTAGTACTACCGAAGGGCACATGGGACAGCGAGACACATTTTCATTTCTCAGAGACAGGTGAGCGCAGAGGTGTGGATTGGATACCAGGAGAGGAATCAAGCCTGGCAACCTTCCCTTAGCCTCAGTTTTAGTCTCCCCGTGTGTTCATCACACCCATCTCAGGGCCTTCACGGAGCCACAAGAGAGAATGAGCGTTCAGTCCTTGCTGCTCACCCCTCAACCCTGGAAAGCCAGACTCTGCCAATCAATTTAGTCTCAGGAGACTTCTTGTCTTGAAGACAAATTTCATGTTCAACTTCCTCTCTAAAGGTCAAGACACTCAATATGTCTTCATTTTTCTATGTTCGACTATTAAACAAATGTTAGTGAGAACAAAAAAGATTAACTGAGTGAGCTGACAAGGACATCATGAAATCCTATTATTCTTGGCTAAACAAAGCCATTTTCTCAGGGTTGGTAATTAAGCCTCATAAACCTTTTCTAAATCTGGGCTATCTAGGATAAGTTCAGCCAGCATTTTCATATTCATTACTTTTGGGATAAAGAATTAAAAGGAAAGGATAAGGAACCCTAAATGCTACTCCTGTGATAAGCTACAGACTGAGTGATAAGCTACGGACAGAGATAAACAGAATCCCGTAAATAGCTTTTTCTTTGAGCAGACGTGGTATTTTTACCCCAGCTGACAATGGGAAGAGGTGGCTGGAAAAATCCTGTTGACCTTGGTCACACTAGAGGGCATTGAGCTTCCAGTAGTTCTCAACCTGTGGGTCTCAATCCCTTTGGGGGTTGTATATCAGATATTTATCTCACAATTCATAACAGTAGCAAAATTACAGTTATGAAGTAGCATAGAAAGACTTTTATGGTTGGAGAAACTGTATTAAGGCAGCATTAGGAAGGTAAGAACAGATAACATATGCTCTTTTATTTTAAAGTTACCACATCAGAAGCTTTTTAGGGTACAGCTCTGCACCAGAAAGCTACCCCAAAGTCCTTGGAAACAGAGGGAGCAGGGAGAGGGGAGTGGGCAGGACAGGTGTTACAGGGTAGTAGTATCCTGGCTATATTTTTTGTTGTTGTTTTTGGTCAACTTGACAGAAGTTAGGGTCATCTGGAAAGAAGAACCTCAGCTGAAAAAACAAACAAAATAAATAAAAAACTGCCTCCATCAGACTGTCCACATGCAAGTCTACAGGTTATTTTCCTGATTGCTGATTGTGTGGGAAGGCCCAGCTCACTGTGGGTGAGGCCACCACTAGGAAGCTAGTCCTGGATGGTAGAGAAAGGCTGAGCCAGCCCTAGTTTCTGTCCTGAGCTCCCATGCTGGCTTCCTTGGTGATAAACAATATGGAGGCCAAATAAACCCTTCCACTCCCAAGCCGCTCTTGGTCATGGTGTCTTCAGCACAGCAATAAGAAGCAACTAGGGCAGTGTCAAGTACTCATCTGGTTTTGAACAATTCTTTTTTTAAACTTGTCGATAAAAATAAAAAGAAAAACACAACAACTTTGTTTTTGATTGCTGAAAGAAACACTGCTGAGACACGGACTAAATCTGGCAGTATAGGATCCTGGGAGATGTTCTGCGGATTCTGAATTGATCAGAGGGGAAAGTTTGTGTAGAGTTACGCTGGGTGCCACTAGTGGAACATAGCTGTGTGGCAGGGACATTGCTTCTCAGGAACAGAGAGGAGGAGCCACCTGAGAAGCAATGGTGTCTATGGCACAAAGGAGAAGCTGTGCCCCATCACAATGGAAACTTGGTGTGCAAAACTTGGTGTTCCCTCCAGCTATGCCCAACTGCATGAACTGTACCCAGTCCCTGCTCAGCTTCCCCTCCCTGAAGCTCTTGGCTGTCACTCAGGCAGGTGGACAGATGTTCCTCTCTCTTCAGACCCTCACATGCTCCCCGCTCCCCACTGTATGACACTTCAGCTCCCCCATAACCTTTTCTGCTCCATCCTGTGAGACCGCCAATGTCTAGAGCTGTCCTGCCACCCCCAATCTCACCTGGCTCTAGGACCAAAGCATACTTCTAGAGTGTTATGAAAAGCCCAAACAAAGCCCCATATGTCCTCAGTGAAGACCCTAAAACATGGTTTAAGTTGGTATGGTTCTGATGGTACAATAACAGTATTTTAAACTTTCAAAGTTGAAAGACAAGCAAACACCCTGTAAAAAGGCAATTTCTTTCTTAAAATACATGCACTGCTCCTCTTCTACTAATAACTGAGCCTAAACTAAAGCACATTTCACCATGCAAGCATTTTGGAAACTGTCATTAAAAGTAGTCAGGGATGGAGAGATGGCTCAGCAGTTAAAGCACTGGCTGCTCTTTCAGAGAACCTGGGTGGATTCCCAGCACCCACCTGGTAGCTCACAACCCTCTGTAACTCCAGTTCCAGGGGACCTGACAACCTCTTCTAGTCTCTGAGGGCACCATGCACGCTCAAGGTACAGAGACATACATGCAAGTAAAGCAACACAATAAAAACTAAAACACAAGAAAGGAAGAGCAGAAAGAAGGATGGATGGACAGAAGGAAGGAAGTTAAGTAAGTAAGTTCTCCAGGCATTTCCCACCACACACTGGCTTCCTGTTGAGGCCACTTTGCTAGATGAGGAGAAGCCAACAGATTCCTCCCTTCACAAACAACACCATACACTCTACATCAAGTGGATCCCAGAGGATTTTATCATCCTTTTTGGCTGGGGCTAAGCATCTATGAAGAATCATTTTATGTTCCAAGCGGCACGGAGCCCCAGACCTTCAGAACTGATACATTTTCTGAAACTTGCCAAGGCAGTCTATCACTTTTAAGGCTCTTAAGTCAGTCAGTCGTTTGTGCCTTCTTTACTGTCAGCTTTCCTTGTTCTTTCTTGCCCAGTTTAGGATTCCTGGCCAGTCCTGTGACTGTCATTAATTCCTGAAACCCTTTCATTCTCATCTCAATCCATTGGCTCCTTTACTCCAGCAGTGGGCCAGACACCAGGGAATGACAGTCGCTTCATCACAATTTAGCAGCGCATGAGCTTAACTGGCCCTGAAACTGCAATGGGGCTCCTGCTCCATGGGAATCCGTGTATCTCTGTTCATGTGTCTTCCCTAAATGTCTCCTTGCCCCACCCCTCCCAACCACCGTCCAAGTCGATCTAGGGTAACTGCTTCCTAGGCTTTCACATTCGTTCATTCTCACCACTCCACACTGGCACCCCTCTTCCCTTTCTACCTGACCCACCTGTCCCTCACTTCCTCCTCCACCACTGCCCTCTTCCAATCACCACTTAAGCTTTGAACTTTCTCCCTTTCTGGGGCAAGTAAACAGACTTAGGTGTCTCCAACAATGATGTCTGTATGACCCGAATTCAAGCTGAATTTTACCTTCAGCTTCCTTTGGACTGACCTTACCTGGTGTCACCCAGACTCACAGGACCGACCTTACCTGGTGTCACCCATACTCACAGCTTACCCATCACCTGCCTCCTGGATGTCTCTGACTCTCCCTGCTCTTTCAAGAGTCATCAATGAGGACTCTGGTCTTTCCCTCACCCATCTACACAACCACTATTCATGGCTATATCCTTCCCCACTTTTCCATAAGCCTGGAAGCAAGACTGTATACACAAATGAGGGGCACCTCAAAACATCTCTCCTTTCTCTGCATCTGTTCTTTCAGGATATCCACTGTGGGCATTGCCCTACAATGGGACAATGATGCTTTTTTGGGGGGAAATTTTTAATGGACAGAACAATAGCTTATGTGGAGCTAGCAGGTGCCCACTGGAGAGGCAGGAAAAGCCTGTCAACCTAGACTAATTGCTTATCACATGCCTGAGGACACTGCCTCCACCTTCCTACCAGGGGCACAGCAAACGGCCATCCAACAGATCTACTTTTCAACGAGCCTGTGATGGAAACATTTTTTATTTGAGTAGATTTTAAGTCCCACCCAAGAGGCTATGTGGACAGATGTCATTTGGAAGCATGGTTAGATCCCGAGAAAGCTATTTTACACATGAGCTTTCATCAAAGATAATGCAAACAGAAAACAATGGCAAGGCAATCCAGAGTTAAACCATGAATAAGAAAGCTTTTTCCTTTTGTTTTTCTCCCCCTTCAAAATTTAATTATTTTGGAGTCCTGAGGAGCTTGAGGAGAGGGCTCTGCCCTTTGTTGCTGTAAAGAAAGAGACAAATGGCAGGCCTTCTCTTCAGGTCCAGGGCCCTGACACTGCAGGACAGCCAGCCTGTGCAAAGCTCACCTGCCGTAAGTGCCCGTCCTCAGTGAGCAGCTGAGTGTATCTCTTGTGATCAACCAGCCCACCCAGACCCAGAACTGGGTACCCAATTCACCCAGACCAAGGACTATGTACCCAGTCCACCCAGACCCAGGACTGAGTACCCAGCACACTCAGATCCAGGACTGAGTACCTAGCTTGTCCAGACCCGATACTGAGCACCCAGCCCACCCAGACCCAGTGCTGAGAACCTGGCCCACCCAGACCCAGGACTGAGCACCCAGCTCACACAGACCCAGGATTGAGCACCCCGCCCACCCAGGCCCAGGACTGAGTACCCCATCCACCCAGGCCCAGGACTGAGCACCCCACCCCACCCACCCAGGCCCAGGACTGTCCTTCCCGTATTTATCAACTTTGGGAGGGCGGGATGGAACTTAAGAGCCACCTGTGAACAGAAGGTTCACAGGCAGAGTCTATGCTAGACTGCTGTGGAGTGTCAAGGATGGATGGGCATTCTTACGTCAAGGGAGGTTCTGACTTCCTCCCGGGAATCTCCACAGAGCCGTGGCCTATAGACCAGCCTGTTTTCATTAGGAAGTGCCGACAATGTGTGCGTGCTACGCTCACTGT